AGACACTAACTAAAAAGATCTCCATATTAGCAAAAAAGTCTTTTCAATTTAATCAATCTTCTGCAACCCCCCCCCAAATCAACCAAAAAAAAATCCATGATAAGACAAGGCAACAAAATGTCTCCCAAAACTCCAAAAACCCTCAAAGCTGATCCATGGGGTACTGATGTGGGTAAACTCAAAAGCCACACAATGAAGTATTACTATTATTATTATTAGGTACCAGGGATCGAACTTGGGACCTCACTCTTGCGAGGCAGGCATGATGCCACTGAGCTAAATCCCCAGTCCTTACACAATGAATTCTTTGAAATTATGGAAGATGGGTTAAGCAGATCAGTGATGTACTTGACAAGCTCATACAAGATAAAACTAAATCAATAATAGACTTAATAAACGAAACAATCAGTGATTTTAAAGAAGATACAAAGAAAATGCTAGCTGAACTAAATAAAACTATACAAATCATGAATAAATGTTAGCAAAGAATTTGAGTCCAGGAGTAGGAAGATAGATCATTGTCAGCAGGGAAGGGGATCAAGAGATGGAGGGAGGAGGGAGAAAGGGAATGGATAAAGGATTAAAAAAAGGAATTGTGGTGTGGTATGTACAGAAACCAATTCTATACAAGGAATGTAAATATGCATCGTAAACATGTACAAAAAGGGAAGGAGAGAAGGTGAGGGGGGAGGGAAGGAAGGGAAAGGAGATGAAAGAAGGAATTAAGATGTGTGTTATACATGTATCAACCTCTCACAAGGAATGTAAACATTGTACTACACATATTTAGTAATAATGTAAAATAAAATGGAGGGAAGAGAATGAAAAAAGAATTAAGATGTGTTATGTACACCTAGCAACTCCTCAAGAATATAATCATTATGCCATATAAACATATTAATAAAAATATGTTTTTAAAAGAATAATAAAAGATTTTAGTCCATGAAAAGATAATATAGAAATCCGAGAGATTAAAAATTCTGTTGAAAATATGAGCAATGGAAGTGACCAATGTGAGGACGGTGTCAGAACCTGAAGATATGATTGATGCCTGTGGCCATATAGTCAGAGATACAATAAGAGAACATGAAAAATGGATCCAAGTAGCTGGTAAGGTGATGCAAAAGACTAGTGAATTAGTGAATTGAAAATTGAAGTTAGTGAATAATCAGCCCAAATGCCATCGAAAACTTGTTTATAGAAATCATAGCAGAAAACTTTGCAAGTATGGGGAAAGAATTTAACATACAGATAAAGCGACACATATAGAACCTCAAATAACCATCATGTTCAGAAAAGAACTTCTCCATGACACATCATTCAAAATCTCAGAAGTCCAACACAAAGACAAAATCTTAAATGTTAGAAAAAAGCAACGAATCACTTATAAAGGTAAGCCCATTAGAATTCCAGCAGATTTCCCAACACAAACCTTAAAAGACAAAGAGAATTTGAAGTGTTTCAAGCCCTAAAAGAAAACAGCTTCCAACCAAGAGTGATATATCCTGCAGAAGTATCTTTCAAAACTGATGGAAAAGTAAGGTCTTTCCATGACAGCACAATAAGAAATTCTTGACTATCAAGCCAGCATTCCCAAAACATCTCAAGGATATCCTAGAAAGACAATGAAGCTAATAATGCCAAAAAGTGTAATAGAATAATGCCAAAAAGGCATGGTGAGCAGTTACGTAGAAGCGGAAAGAAAGGGAATCAGCAGCAGGAAAATAATGCAATGACAGACATAAGTTGATACCTTTCAGTAACCCTCAATGTGAATAGCCTCAATTCCCCATTCAAAAGGTAAAAATTGGCAGAATGGATCAAGAAACAAAGCACAAGGATATGCTGTATACAAGAAACACATTCATTCCAAAATGAAATAGTCTGAAAATCAAAGGACAGAAAACAATATTTCATGCAATGGGAACCCCCAAAACGTCAGGAGTAGCTATCTTATTTTCTGAAAGTTGACTTCAAGCTAAAACTGATTAGAAGAGGCAAAGAAGATCTCTACATATTGGCCAATGGAACAGTTCAACAGGAAGAGATAACAATTATGAACACATATGCACCATACTGGTATACCCAACTTAATAAAACAAATACTATTAGACATAAAAATCAGATACATATTAACGCAATTATAGTGAAGATCCTCAATAATCACTGTCACATGTAGATCAACTAGATAAAAAAATCAAAGAAATATCAGTTGAACCAAACCTTGAACAAATTGACTTAATACATACCTTCAAAGTATGCCACCCAACAAGAGTACACATTTTTGACAGTTCCTAGAATGAAATAATGCCATCTTTTTTTTTTTTTTTTTTTTTTTTTTGGTACTGGGGATCAAACTCAGGATCTTGTGCTTGCGAGGCAGTCTATCCATCTTTTATCATTTTCTTTGTTGTGCTTTGCCTCACTCAAATAAGGGATATCATACAGTATTCAAGCTTGTATGTCTGATTTATTTTACTCAACATTTTATTTTCCAGGTGCATCCATTTTCCTACATATGCCTCAAATTTGTCATTCTTTTATAGCCAAGTAGTTCATTGTATCTAGATATCACATTTTGTTTATCCAGTCAGCTATGGATGGGTGTATGGGCTGCTTCCAGGATTTAGCTATTAGTAATTGTGCTGCTATATATATTGGTATGCAAATATCACTGTAGTGTGATGACTTCAGCATTTGAGTTAGTGTTAGGGTTAAGATTGTAGAGTTTATAAAGGACTGAAGAAAATTATACCTCTAAAAATAAAAGACACAGTCAAGAAATGGGCAACTGAAATGGGTAGACAGAAGTATAAATGACCAATAAATGCTTGAAAAAATATTCAACATCGCTGGCCATTAGAGAAATGCAAATTAAAATAACACTGAGATTCCTGTCTTACTCCAGAAAGAATGGCTATCATAAAGAAATCAAATTTTAAAAAGTGCTGGTGAGGCTGTTTTGGAAAAGAAACTCTTCTACTTTGTTGGTGGGAATGTGAGTTAGTACAAGTATTATGGAAATCACTATGGAGCTTCCTCAAAAAACTAAAACTAGATTCCTTTCAACCCCACTATTCCCCTTCTAATTATCTTCCTGAAAGAGTTAAAAAGACATATTACAATGATACATACATAGCCATGTTTGTAATAGCACAATTCATAATAGTTAAATATTGGAAGAGTCCTATATGTTCACCAACAGATAATTAGGCAAAGAAAATGTGGTTTTTATACACAATGAAACAGCATTCTACCATAAAGGATAAACTTGAGTCATTTGTATGGAAGTGGATGCATCTTGATACCATAATGTTAAGTGAAATAAATCAGACACACAAGCTTAGATATCATGTTTCTCTTGTATGAACCCCCCCAAATATAAATAGTAAAATTAAAGGGAGGTGAGAGGAAGAGGGTTGATGCAGTTCTTTTGTAAAAGGGAAGGGGATCAAGAAATTGAGGAAGGGATGTAGCGGGAAGGGCATGAAAAAATGTAAGATTTGTTATGTACATGTACAAACTGTGCATGAGAAATGTAATCATTTTGCAGTTGAAACATACTAATGAAAATTTAAGAAAATAAAGAAGGTGGGTACTACTGGTCATGGTGCCATATACCTGTATTTCCAGTGTTCTTGGAGGCTGAGGTAGGAGGATTGCAAGTGAAGGGTGTGTTAATGAGATGGGTACCTGGAAGTGATGAAGAAGAATAGGAGGTAGTATGATTGTATAGTTGAAAGCCAGAGGAGCTGGAGATCTTACATAAGGATAGAGGAGAAATGATCTTGAAGTCTTACTGGAGAGTGAGGGAGATGTCTATCTAGAGCCTAGCCCTGAGTTATGATCATTTGGGAGAATGTACAGCTTTAATCCAATAGGGCTCTAGCACAGTTCTTCTTTGACTTTTTGTGGCAAAGGATTAGATTTCTTTTCCCCCTTTATTTCCAGTATATAATTGACAAGTCTTTTTATAAGATGACTTAAGCTGGGCATGGTGGTGCATGCCTGTGATCCCAGCAAGTTTATGAGCATGATCTAGACCAGTGATGGCAAACCTTTCAGAGCTTTCAGTGATAATGAACACTGTGGCATACATGGCATAGGTTCGCTGCCACTGATCTAGCCTGAAACAGTTTGAGCCCTGCCATATTTTATACTTCCTGCTGTGAATGGCTGACCCAAGATTTTAGAAGTTTAATCCTAGCCAGAAGTTCTTTAAAGGACTGCTGCTGCCTTCTCTGATAAGGGAGGGGCTTACTTTTGTGAAATTACCAACTTGAATACATGCAAAATTTCAAAAACACAATAAATATTTTAAGAACTTAACAATATGCAGTAAATAACAGTTCATTTTTGAGATGTAGAAAATACAAATTAAGGATGAAAAAATATCTACCTATAATCCTTTATTTACAGCCACTGTTGACTAAAATATTTTTAGTGTTTTTCATGTAACAAAGTATCTCAATAAAGTACTATTGACTATAAAATATTTTTAGTGTTTTTTTATGTAACAAAGTACCTCAATAAAATTTAAATTTTGGGTTATATGTTGAAATACTATTTTGGGTAGATTGGCTTAAATATTAATAAAATTAATTTTACCTATTTAGCTTTTTAATGTGGCTATTTATAACATTTAAAATTACATATTGGTTCACATATGCCTATTAAATAAGACTGCTCTAGAATCTTGTCTTGCTTTGATTTTTCATTCTTAATGGAACTTAATAGTGTGTAGCTCTGTCACAGATTTTTAGACCAGAAGAATTTTTGCATGAATGAAAATATTTCATAATGTGCTCAATATGGTGACTAATAACTATATGTACTGAACATTTCAAATACAGCTACTGTGGTGGGGGGACTGCATTTTAAATTTACTGAAGTTTAGTTAATTTAAGTGTAAATAGCCACAAGCTAATAGTATACTGGATAGCAGTTTTCTAGACTATAAAAAAGAAAAATTAAAAAAATCTTGATTTTCTTCTTTCCAGTTGTGTTGGTGTTGAAGAGGAGAAGGCTGCTGAAATTGACCTCTACCACTGCCCCAACTGTGAGGTCTTACATGGGCCCTCTATTAGTAAGTAGATCTTATGATTTCTCTCAAAAGGTTGTCCAGAGGAGAGATAAAAGAGAGGATGTTGGCAGGTGTGATTGCCTTTGTCTCACTGCTACCAATTCATCTTCTTCAAGAAATAGCAGAAGCTTACGCAGTCCCTGCAGGCCCGAAGCTGCCTCACTGAGAAGGCAGAACTGCATAGCTTTACTCCCTCTATTCCTAGGGATTACATAGAGGAAGTACCCATCTTCACTGGGAGTTTTCCTAGTTTTTGAGGGATTCTTTGACTCCAGATTCTCTCAGGGATTGTTAGATAGGAAGAGAGGAAGGATCTGTGCAGCCTTTGTTCTTGGAATCATAGTACATGGCCTTTCTGATTCATGATCTCATGCTTTTTTCTGCTGTAGTGAAAAAACGGCGTGGATCTTCTAAAGGGCATGATGCACACAAAGGGAAGCCTGTGAAGACTGGGACCCCTATGTTCATTCGAGAGCTGAGGAGTAGGACTTTTGACAGGTGAGGACCCTTGCCTTAAGATCTGGTGAATAAGGACCCCTGAGAGACTTGAGACTCATCTTTTCTCAGCTTTCCTACTGGCTGTGCCATTAAATGATTCTTCCATTTGTGAATGTCTTTTGGGCCCTGCAAGTTCCCTCTGGGGAGGAAACTTCTGTTTTGGTCAGTTTCTGAGATACAGCTAGAGAAGTCCATTTGATGTACATAGTACATTTGGGTTCACTTATAAAAACTTATCATAGCATGCATGAATGAACCCTGAGTTCGTTCCCCAGTACCTCCCAAAACAACAGACTTTTAGTATTTGGGAAATAGTATTCTCCCTAAGCCAAGAGTGGATATTTATATGTACCCAAGGGAAGTTAGAACTGGAAGGAATCTTTTCATTTGTTTGTTTGTTTTTTGAGACAGGGTCTCACTATGTAGCTCAGGCTGGCCTGGAACTGGAGGCAATCCTCCTGCCTCAGCCTCCCAAGTACTGGGATTACAGGCATATGCTCCCATTCCTGGCTTGGAAAGAATCTTAATGTTCAGTAAATTTAATCCTCTTACTGTAGAGAAAAGGAAGCTTAAAAATGAAAAGAAATTTGAATGATCATGTATTTTTCAATCAAGAAATTTTTAATTAAACCAGCCTTATTAAAAGAAATTAAGGGGCCAGGGATTTAGCTCAGTGGTTCTGCTGCCTGCCTTGCAAGCACAAGGATCCAAGCTCGATCCCTGGTACCAAGAAAAAAAAATTAATATATAAATTGAACATAATAATAAAATTTAAAGTAGATGAATAAATAACTCTTTTGCTTGGTTTTCAATTCATTGGACTGTTTTCAAGATGGTTTTTGCCCGTAATTAAAGTGTCACTTGGATTATTTCTTCAACTTACTATTTTTGTTGAATTTATTTAAAGGTCATAAATCTCTTCTCTCAGATCTCTCAGGTCCCTTCTCTTAAGTCACCCAATTTCTTGTGCATTCTTTCTTTCAAAAATAACTTTTGCAGGGCCAGGGATTTAGCTCAGTGGTGCCACTGCGTGCCTCACAAGCTCAAGGTCCGGAGTTTGATCCCCGGTACAAAAAAAAAAAAAATCCTAACTTAGGCATCTTGGACATCTATTCATAGCATACATATGAGGTGTGATCAAAATATATGATGGATGTTTAAATTAAAATAATGATCATAGTAAAAACACATCGCTATTAATCCCCAGGCATCTTGGATCTATTCATAGCATACATATGAGGTGTGATCAAAATATATGATGGATGTTTAAATTAAAATAATGATCATAGTAAAAACACATCGCTATTAATCCCCCTCAAACTTTTTCCTTTTACTTTGACCACACTTATCCTATCTGCTTGCTACCTTTTGAAGCAGTTTTGTAAGTCCTCTTTGATGAGTGTTTTTACAAGATATGATCAAAAACATGGGTGAAAGCTACCAAGTGCCATTCAGTGTAAAGGCAGGCTCATAAAAACATTACATTGTGTCCTTATGCATATTATTCACCAAATAATTTCTGGCTCTTCTCCAATGTCAAAATGATCATGGAAGGTAAACATTTTGAATTGATTCAGGACATAGAGGTAGCTGCAACAGTGTAACTAAAAGCACTCACGAGAAAGGACTTCCAGAACATCTTTAGAAAGTGGCAAGAATGATGAGATAAGTATGTTCAAAGCAACAAGGAGTATTTTGAGGGCGATTAATGGCAATGTATCTTTTACTTTAATAAATTTGTTTGTATTTAAATATTTACTGTATTTTTTTTTCATACCTCCTACAAATGTTCTTAATTCTTTTTCATGGCTATTTAGTGTTACATTGCATGGATATACAATTAAATGATCCTCTGTTGTTAAACATTTGATTCCTGTATTTTCTTGTTAGAAAAAATGCAGCAGTGGTCTCTTCGTTTTTTTAAAGGTATCCTTTTTGCAGGGATCCTACTGATAGTAATTTTGCTGAAAGGTGCTTCAGCCAAGAGGCAGGCTGTTCAAAAGAGAGAAAATAAAGCAGGCCTGAGATTGCTTTCTGCAGAAAGACCTGTCTGCAGGCTCAGCCCTGGCTAGATCTGGGAGCTTGGATATCAGGAATCTTCTCTCCCTCCCTGAGTCATAAGAGTGACACAGCGTCCCTGGCTGTTTGTGCAGACACTGGTTTATGCCACATACCTGTCTTTGCTTTGGGAGCCTGGAGTAGTATGTGTTAAGGCAGGGTATGAGGAGAGGTGACCATCAGAGGGAGATGAGGTGATGGATTGGTTATTTTGAGTCTCCCTCTACTAAGCTTCTCTGATGCCCAGTATTTCCCTTGGGGTGTCACATCTCATTGCTGAGGAGCTGTGTGGTCCTGTGTGACTGTGAGAGCACCCTGGAAAGTGTGCACCTGTTTTCCTCTGGACTTTGCCCCATGCACCTTGTTTCTCTGCTGATTTTGCTTCATAGCTCTTTGCTGTAATAAATCATAGCCCTGAGCATAACTACAGGCCAGGCCCCGTGACTCTCCCAGTGAAACGTCTAGGAAGGAGGGGAGATATTTGGGACCCATCATGGGGCACTAGGTGTACTTCTGGGGTGTTGGTAGCATCTTCTTCTGTGCTGTATACACAGGCTGTGTTCAGTTTGTGAAAATTTACTGAGCTGTGTAATTAAGATTGGAACATTTTCTCCGTAACTATACTAAATTTCAATAAAAACTTCAAGTAGAAAAAAATGCAACAGTGAATATCTTTATACTTTACCTTTTACATATGTGATGACACAGAGAGAGAGAGAGAGATTTACTGTCCCAAAGTATACTTGTTGTGCTTTAAAAATATAAACTCTGCAGGTTGTTGTTTTGGTGGTTGTACCATTTCATACTACCACAGAGAATATATGAAGGTGCTGAACCTCTTTATCATGACCAACATTATTTATCATTGAACTTTTTTGCCTTTGTGATAAGATAAAAATGAAATCTTAGTGTTTTCACTTGCATTATTTTAGTTACCAAAAATTTAAATAGGATTTTGTTTGTTCGAGACAGGGTGTCTTGCTAAATTGCCCAGGCTGAGTTGAACTTGCCATTCTCTTGCCTCAGTCTCCCAGAGTGATGTGATTAGAGCCATGTGGCACCATGCCCAGCTGTAAATAGATTTTGTACATTTGTCAGCTATGTTTATTTATTTCTCTGTTAACTACGTGATTGTGTTGACAGTTTTTTTATTGTGTGATCTTGTTTTTTTGAAAAGGGGCTTGCAGTGTAGCCTAGGTTGGCCTTGAACTCATTATGTAGCCCAAGCTGGCCTTGAGCTTGTGGCAGTCCTCCTGCTCAGCCTCTCGATTGTGCCACCATGCCATATATATATATTTTTTTCCTGATTGACAATAGCTTTCCTTGCAAAAAAATTTAGTTTTTATATAGTTAATTATTACTATTTTTAGGGACTGCTGAGCCTTCTCCCCCATGTTTTTTATTACTCTTAGGGCTTTACTGTTTGCAATTTAGCTTTTAGTCTTTAGTATGTAGAATATGTAAAAAGTAAAAAAGACATTGATGTTAATATGCTTGTTGCAATCCAATTTGTCAAATAGTCTGTTATCTTTCCTTTTCCTTTTTTCTGGTGCTCGGGATTGATCCCAGGGCCTCATGCATGCTAACAACATGCTTTGTCACTAGACTACACACCCAGCTAATCTATTGTCTTTTTTCCAGCATGATTTTTTTAAAAAACTACTTTTTTCTTGTTAACTATGTGTGTTGGGCAAGTGGTTGTAAAAATTGCCTGTTCACAGTTTTTTCTGTTCTTGATCAGTGTTTTAAATTGGAGGTTACTACTCTGTGCAGCAAGTAAATATATGAAAAAATGTTCCACATCACTGGTCATTCGAGAGATGCAGATCAAAACAACACTGAGATTCCACCTCACCCCACAAAGAATGGCTGCTATTAAGAAATCACACAATAACAAATGTTGGCGGGGTTGTGGGGAGAAAGGAACCCTTCTCTATTGTTGGTGGGAGTGTAGACTGGTGCAACCATTATGGAAATCATTGTGGAGATACCTCAGAGAGCTGAGACTAGAGGTTCCATTTGAACCAGCCATACCTCTGCTGGGTATCTTTCCATGACATATGTACCTATGTTTATAGCAGCACAGTTTGTAATAGCTAAAACTTGGAAACAGCCCATTTGCCCATCATTTGGAAACCAGATAAAGAAGATGTGGTTTTTCTATAAAATGGAATACTACTCGGCCATAAAGAAAGAGAAATTAGAGTCATTCATAGGAAAATGGATACATTTTGAGGATATACTCCTAAGTGAAATAAATAAGTAATACGTGTAAGCACTGAATAGTTTCTGTGGTGTAAAAAACTATAATAGTACACAAGATCCTAATGAGATAATTAACAACATGAAATAGGATGAAATGGGCTAAAGGTGTAGGGAAATTGGGAAGGGTAGGGGAAAAGGAATAAGGGAAAAGAAAAAATATGCGAAAATGAAAAAATGGAAATAAAGCGTTTGTAAATGGGGAGGGAGGAGGGGGTGAAGGGAGGGCAGGGACAAGGGGAAAAAATGAGAACCAAGACCTGTCATGTAAAGATACAAGATCCCAATAATGAATGTAACTGTACTGTATACCTAGATTGTACCAATAAACTCAATAAAAAGAAAAAAAATAAATTGGAGTTTACTGCTTTGGGGTAGACCAAATCAGCTAAACTTGACAGATATGTCTTTTTAGGGAGGATATCGACTCATTTCTTCATTTGATATCTAGAGAAGAGTGCCATTTTGACTGGCTGTTCCCCACCTCTGTCAGTGACCTTGCCTTATACCTTGTGTGTGTGGTGCTGGGAACTGAAGCCAGGGCCTTGTGCATACTAAACAAGCACTGTACTACTGAGTTATATCCAGCCCCTTTTCCTCTTACCCTGGACAGTTCATTTCCTCCCTGGCACATGAGATTTATGCTATTAATTGTAAGCCCATATAAGGCCTCCTGGGGAACACCCACTTGATTGAGTGATGGCGTATTGTAAGATCTTTGGTGAGCAGAGCATTCAGGCTCAAGATTTCTCTCTTTTTGTCAATAGCTCAGATGAAGTGATTCTGAAGCCCACTGGAAGTCAGCTGACTGTGGAGTTTCTGGAAGAGAATAGCTTCAGTGTGCCCATCTTGGTCTTGAAGAAGGATGGCTTGGGAATGACATTGCCCTCACCATCATTCACTGTGAGGGATGTGGAACACTATGTTGGTAAGACATTACAGATATTTTTAACTGTGACATTGTCCACTCCTGTCAATACCTTCTTTTCCCCTCCAATTCACCTTTTTGTATTTCTTTTCTCGCCAGTTTGGAATCTGAGGTGAAATACCTTGACCAGAGTCATTCTTTGGTAAAGCTAAAGCCAAAATCCTAGTTTCTTCTTCCTTTCCTGTGAATAGCCAAACCCCCCCCCCCATATACACATATACAGTGTCTGTCAGTAGAAGGTTTTACTTTGTTTTTCTTTGGTTTTTTGAGACAGGGTCTTGTTATGTAGTTCAGGCTGGCCTTGAATTCACTATGTAGCCCAGGCTGGCCTTGAACTGATAGTGATCCTCCTGCATCAGCCTCTGGAGTGCTAGGATTACAGGTGTGTATGCCACCAAACCCACGCTCAATAGAAGTTTTGAGTATAAGGCCATTCTGGAAACTGGTAAGGGGTTAAGACTCTTCCCTTGTCCCTGAGTCCACTAGGTACAGATCTCATTGCTTTACTCCAGGTTCTGACAAAGAAATTGATGTGATTGATGTGGCCCGCCAGGCCGACTGCAAAATGAAGCTTGGTGACTTTGTGAAATATTACTACAGTGGAAAGAGAGAGAAAGTCCTCAATGTCATAAGTTTGGAATTCTCTGATACCAGGTAGGAGGGCAGTGATAACAAAAAATCCTGATAAAGTGTCTTGAAATTGTGGTGTACCAAGTATATATCTATGTTCTTTTCCTTTTGTCCTGGTGATTTCTTTGTTTGGGATGGGGAACTGAGTTATACCTTTTAGGGTAGCTGCTCACATCATGACAACTGAGTCATATTTCTTTTCTACAATTTCCAACATTGGATAGATTACACAGTATCTATTTTGTTTAATTTTTGGCTTCTTCAAGGTCTAGGGTAGATTTCTTTGATCTTTTTCTGGTATTTATGTTGTGGCATGGTCACTGCCTGCCAGGATAAGTACTTCGTCCCTGAAAATAGGTTCATTAAAATTACCCCCAAGTAGTTTCTCTAAGGAGAATTTAAAAAGAAAAGCTATATTATAACCTTTAAATGATTCTGTGTGTGTGTGTGTGTGTGTGTGTGTGTGTGTGTGTGTGTAGTCTTTGTGCTCAGATCTGTGGAAATACCAAGAAATCACAGTATATCTTTTTGTCCTTAGCTGACTATATTTTTAGGGTTTTTTTTGGGGGGGTACCAGGGATCAAACACAGGACCTTGTGGTTGGGAGGCAGGTGGCAGCACCACTGAGCTAAATCCCTGGCCCTTATATTTTTAACTTTTTACTTTGAAATAATTATAAATTCATTGAAAGTTGCAAAAACTATTCTGGAAGGTTATGTATACTCTGCAGTCATTTTCCTACAATGGTAACATCTTAGCATAATTATATTACAATATTAAAACCCTTGGTATTGTTTTTAAGATGCACGATTAAACAACAAGAATGTGTTTTTAAAAACTCTGCTTGTTTATTTCTACCTAAATTTATCCTGAAAGACTATTTGAGGTATCTTGAAAAAAGATGGAGATGGGTGTGGGGAAGAGAAAATTGGAACAAATGGAAGATAATAGTTGTGAAATAGGATGACATCTAGTAGGTACTCTGTATGTAAAATGCACATATGAACACCTAGATAGTTAATGGAGCTGGACTGTACAGTTTTCACTAAATTTTTAGAAGGTTAGAACAAGAGGAAAGTGCAATGTGATTTTAGGATAAAAACAACCAGAGGTTTCAGAGAAACACTTTTTTTTAAAATTTGAAACAGCCCCAAGGGGTTTTTCTAATGGATTCTCATCATATGAGAAACCCTTACGATAAGATGGAGATGATACAATAACTGTTATAAACTAAGTGCCAAGCGAGTAGACCAGAGTAAGTGGCCACTTTCTACTGGGGAAGGCTGTAGAACTGGAACTTCAGATTTGAGGAGCTAAGTGGAATGAAGAGGCTGACCAGACTTACAGAAATTAATGTCCTGTGTGCCTTTGTGGATTCTGTGGGAACTTGTTATTTTTCATCTGACCCTCATGAGATGCAGGCATTTTATTCAGGCTTCAGCTTTCAGTTTCCAGTCAGCTGACATTTACTTCTACCCCTCTTTGCTAGGCTTTCTAACCTCGTGGAGACACCTAAGATTGTTCGCAAGTTGTCATGGGTCGAGAACTTGTGGCCAGAGGAGAGTGTGTTTGAAAGACCCAATGTGCAGAAGTACTGCCTCATGAGTGTACGGGATAGCTACACAGACTTTCACATTGACTTTGGTGGCACCTCAGTGTGGTACCATGTGCTCAAGGTAGGAATGGACATGACTTCTGGGAGTATCCAGACTTCGGGCCTCAATGCTTGTGTCAGATGTTGACCAGGTGTACCTGCATTACAGAGGCTATTTGTGTGACATTCTATGTAACTACTCTTTGAGTGCATCTTGCCTGATCATAACCTGTCTGTAATTTATAGTTTTGATGTTGAATCAAAAAATTTGAATAACAGCAGATGCCTAAGGTTTTCCCAGGTATTACCTCTTTCAGTGAACCAGTTCATACTCCCACCAACTGTATGGAAATATTCATATACTTTAGAAATTCTTCATAACATGAGAAACTTCCCCTCCCCCAAGTTTATTTGGGTATAATTTGTATACCATAGACTACTCTATAAAACTATAGTTTGATGAGTTTTGACAATTGTGTGTGGTTTAACTGCCACTCTAGTCAAAGTGGAAGATATATGAGAAGTGTTATTTTTAGTCATGATTCTTACAGTTTTTTTTTATTAGTGATTATTATAACTTTGTAAATAGGGTATTCTCAGCGACTATAAAGGACTTTTGCCTTTGGGAAAACACATTTCTTAAATAATTTTGATTGCATTTTACTATTACTTATACTACAGAGGTACCTCAATTCATGAACTAAATTCTTTCCATGATTTGGTCACAAGCTGAATTTGACAAGAATTGAATCAAATTCAGTAATCAGGTTCAGTGTTGACCTTATGGGAAATCTGATTCAGTTCTCATCCAATTCTGTGTGCGACCAGAATCGTGGAAAGAATTAAGTGCTATCAGAAATGTCAAGGAAGGAAGAGAGCTGGTGATCCCAACCCTTGGGAGGCTGAGGCAGGAGGGTTAGCATGAATTTGAGGCCAGCCTAGGCTACATAGTTCAAAGCCAATCTGACTTACATAGCAAGATGCTGCCTCAAAAAACAAAACAAAAGAAAACAAACAAAAGAAATGCCAAGGAAGAACAGTAGATTTAGATGATTGCTGTTGTCCAAATGATCATGCATCTTCTACTAGTTTTCCCATAGATTTATCATGAAGAAATTTGAGTATGTAAATGAAAGTTCTGTTACACAGATGTTAGATTTAAGTCTTATTGTTAAATAATTTCATTTTCATAGAAAACTTAAAAAAACAATGGGACGGTTTCCTGTGTGCCCGCCTTCAGATTGCCCAGATGTTAGCATTTTATTAATCCAAATGTTTCCTTTTTATTATATTTTCTTTTTCCCCAAAGCAAACATAATAAAATGGCTACATCAGTTTTTTTCTGAGACAGTTGAGAGTGGTTAGAGTGTTCCTTTATCTCTGGTAATTCAGTAGCTAGTTTTTTTTAATAGTTCTTAAAAACTAAGATATTCTCAATATAATCGCAGTTATAGTTATCACAATCAGAAAATTTAAAAATCAGGAAATTAATATTGATATAGGACTATCAGCTAATCTATGGAGCTTTCAGATTTCTCCACTTGTACAGTAGATATTTCTAGTAGTATTTCTTTTTTGTGTTGGAATTTATTATTGTGAAATATTGGTTAAATCATCAGTTTATGGGCATATCTTTGTGTTGGTGAATTTTTTGCCAAATTGTGTATCTGATGATTATCCAGGCAAAACACAATTAGGAAATAAAATGTTCTTCCAACAAATAATCATCGAATGCAATCTTGTAGAAGTCCTTAGGCAGTTCCTGAACTTTTAAACTTTTATTAGCCTTGATTGCAGATTTGAATGGGAACACTCTGTAAATGGCATTTAAAGGCAACTTCGTTTTTCTTCTCATCAGTAATGTGCCCTGAAATTGTCCTACAGCTAGTAGTTTTAATCTCATCTGTTGAGGCTATTTTTCATTTGCTATTGCATCTGAAATAGGAGCATGTGGTATACACTTGTCCTAACCTGACCAGTTTTGTTAGAAATGTCCTTTCCAAATTGTTTTTGTCAAATTTATGGAAACTTAAAAATCACATAAAAATGATTCTTATTGAGTTTGAGAAAGAACTGTGGCATACTACCATGGTTATGGAACGTGGGACAATACCCCTTGGAGCACCCTTGAAATAACTTTTTATGGAAATGCTTGGTATTTTTGGCACTTCAACCTCTTTTGTTTCAGGGTGAGAAGATCTTCTACCTGATTCGCCCAACAAATGCTAATTTGACTCTCTTTGAGTGCTGGAGCAGCTCCTCTAATCAGAATGAAATGTTCTTTGGGGACCAGGTGGACAAGTGCTACAAGTGTTCCGTGAAGCAAGGACAGACACTTTTCATTCCTACAGGTCTTTCCTGGAACCTCTTGGTGTGGGGATGGTGGTGCATGAGGGCAGAAAGAGGGGAGCTTGTGATATCACATCTGACTGCTTCTCATAATGCATTAATCGAATTATGTGGGATACCTCTCATAATCAGCTGAATTTTTGTGGTGGTCACTGGGGAGCATGATTGGGGAGGCTGCTGATGTAGGTATGGTTCAGGAGGAGGTTGATGAACTCCTTTGCACTAAGTTGGTATCAACTTGGTGGGAAAATAGAGAACAGTTTTCTCAGCCCCATGACTACAGAAATTGACTGGGAGACTTACATTCTAGTCTATAAATTAGAATGATCTGGGATGAGTGTGGCACATTTATTCCTAAACAATATGTACCTGGGTTTTACTTCTGGAATTTAGGTCTAGGGTGAATTTTTAGTACATATGTTTTGAAAAGTCTCCCACTTGTCTCAGCCATGGGTGAATTGACATCTTTATTTGATTGAGTCTTCCACAGACACAGCATGTATCACCATTTATTTAGATTTTCCTTGAAATCTTTAATCAGCATTAGTGTTAAATCTTCTTGAAATGTTTTGTGGAATTCTTTAGTAAAATCACATTGACTTAAAGATTTCTTTTTGGGGAGGTTTTTCATTGACATTGAATTTCTCTATTTTTTTATTTTTATTTTTTGGTACTGGGGATCAAACTCAGGACCTTGTGCTTGTGAGGCAGGTGGCAGAACCACTGAGCAAAATCCCTGGCCCAATTTCGCTAATTTTTATAAGGCTATTTCATTTTAGATGAGTTGTGGTAGTCTGTGCTTTTTCAATAAAATAATCTGTTTTATCTGTCTTTTTTTTCTTGTGTGGAGTATTGAAGCCAGTGCCTCACACATACCAGGCATACACTCTATTACTGAGTTAAACCGCCATACCTGTTTTATCTAAATTGTCAAATATATGCGTATAATCCAGTTGCAGTGGCACATGCCTGTACTCAGGAGTCTGAGATAGGAGGATCGCTTGACCTGTTGAATTTGAGACCAGCCTGGGCAATATGAAAAAAACTGCATTTTAAATAAAAATTTTCTTTAGCATTTATGTGTGTTGAGTTGTTCATAGTATTTCTTTATTATGCTTTTCATGTCTTCTAGGTCTTTTGAGATATCCTGTGTTTTATTCCTGGCAATAGTTATTTGTGCCCTTTTATTTGTGTCAGTCTTGCTAGTGGTTGTTCTTTATTGATCTTTGTAAGAATCACTTTTGTTTCATTGATTTTTCTCTCTGTTGTGTTTCTGTTTTCAATTTTATTGGTTTCTGAATTTATTTTTTTTTCTGCTTATTTTGGGTTTATTTGCTGTTCTTTTTCTAGTCAAGATAGGTTAGATTATTGATTTCAGAATTTCCTAAAATAAGCATTTAGTGCTATAAATTTCCCTCTCAGCATTTATTTAGCTGTGGTATACACATTTTGGTATATTTTTAGTTTCATTTAGTTAAATGTACCTTTGAAAAAAATCTAGATGTAATTCGTATCCTATCAAGTTTACCACTTTAAGGTGCAATTCAGTTGCTTTTAGTATATTTTCAAGGTTGTGTGCAGCCCCTGCTGCTAATACCAGAAAATGTTAGCAGTCATTTCCTGTTCCTCCCTTTTCCCAGCATCTGGCAACAACTTTTGTACTTATTACTTTTTTAAAAAATTTATTTTATTGGTACATTTTAGGTATATAATGACATTCATCATTGGAAATTTGTACCCTTTACATAATATATCTTGGTTCTTATTTTCTCCCCATTCCCCTGCCCTCCCTTCAACCCCCCCCCACTCCTTCCTGTTTACAAAGACTTTGTTTCCATTTTTTCATTTTCTCATATTAATTCTATTCCCTTCTTTCTTTTTCGTTACCTCTCCCACCTCCCCTTTCCCTTTGCCCCTTTTCTTCCTATTTCACATTATACCTTTTGATCATTATTTACACTTTCAGTTTCTCAAACCAGAGAAACTATTTGGTATTTATACACGTGTGTCCTATTTATTTCACTTAAGGGTATCACCTTAGGAATAAAATATTTTTCTTTATCCGGTCTCCATTTGATAGGCATTTGGGCTATTTCCAAGTTTTAGGTATTACGAACTGTGCTGCTATGAACATAGGTACACATGTATCACTGTGGCATGATTCTTTTAATTCTTTTTTTTTTTTTTTTTA